CTTTTATCGCACATTTCGTGACGACAACTGTGGACGAGTCGTTTGTTCGTTACAACCCCATTACCTCGCCATATTAAAACAAAGTGTCGCGCGTGAGGAATGGAACTTTCAAGAGCATCAGTGATGCCCCGTGGCTTTCTGCCATTCTAGGCTTCCCACAAGTTACAAAACGTCAACATTCACAGCTGCGGAACTACGAAGCGTCGCGATATCCTCAACGGGAAGAAAAGTCAGTTTATTTATTTCCGGCATGAGAGAGGCGTGGAGTTGCAGCCGCGCACCGTCGTTGCCTTCTTTGAAACGAAACTGCTCTCTCATCCTCTGGGAGCATCCACGTGCAATCGCCGGTATAAATATTTGGTACGTGCCCGGCGCTTTTCGTGATGGCGGAAGTCACGAAGAAAACTCGCGAGTAACCTTGAACGTCGACTCACCAGAAGCCCGCCGTTAATTCTAGTCTCGGTCCCGCAAGTGCATTAACGAAATGACGGTTCCCGGACAAATCGCCAGCTGCAAATTGCGAGGGCGATGGTCTAAGTACATGTTATAATATTTAGTATCCTGTACATTACGTAAAATCTCGTGGTAATTTGAAGCATTCTTGGAGCAAAAATTAAAAATTTGTTATAATACACTAAGCATTAAACTAAGCTACATAAAGTTACCAGAAATGATCATGGTATTATTTAAGCCACGCATAATTTAAAACTATAGAATTATAAAAGGTAAACTTAAAATAAGTAAACGATAAAGAAACTGAAAAAATATTAAGATCCAGAAATTTTTACGAATAATCAGCCTTAATTGTGCCAAAATTTAAAAATTATCAATGTTTCATTCCTTAGAATATCTTGCGATAACAAAATAGTTTAATAATAGAATTCAAAAGACCTCCGTATATTCCAAAATTTACTCGCTCGCGTATGCGTATGCACGATTAAAAATTCCTGTGGCAGTCGCTTTTATATTTCGTGTTAAAAAATTCACGAATATTGTGGAATTCTTTAAAATACTCTGACGATGAATAAAAAATAATTTACTAAGAATTAAGGTTCGAAAGAGAAGAAAATTCTGTTTGTAATATATGAACTTATTATACATATCTTTTTTGATAAAAATAAAAGTAAATTTTATTTTTTTAATAAAAATTGGAATAGTGCGGTAATAGTTTGTTTATCAAAATTATTTTAATATGCAAGAAGCACAGTAGGTATATTACTTTATAGTACGTTAAATATCTTACGGCAACAAATCGGTTGATACCGGTCGTAACGAAATGTATTGTTAGATTAACACAATTATTTCTTACAATTAATATAATTAACAAATAACAACTCGTCAAAGCGACGATTATTTCACGTGATTTATTCATTTAAGGTAGAAAATCAAAAAACAATATAATTAAAATTATAAATTATTCTTTTATTTCGATATTTATTTCGTCAATTACTACATCCGAATATATCTTACGTCACGTTTTGTATTTTTCACCGATGTAATTTGACAATCGCTTTCATATTCAGAGCACGCAATGATACACTTGAAATTCAAGACATATATAATATTCCGCATGAGTTTATTTTATAGCATGTTAAATATTTCGTGGCGAAAACAAATTGATTGTCGAACAATATTTGGTATTCGCCTTTGTTATTATATCATAGACATAATATATAGACTGCGCGTCTCTACATCTCCCGTAATCAGAACGTATCAAAAAATAGAAAGAGATAGCTGCTGTACGATCACTAATCTGTTTTTGTCTAAAGACGCGGGGTAGGGTAAAGAAGCTTTCGTTGACTGGGAAACAGAAAAGTAGAGGGGATTAAAAGACGAAGATAAAATGGTGATACAAACAAAGCATGCTATCTCTGTCTAATATTTGACGACCCCCACTCTTTAATACTCGGTCTAAATATACTATGTCTATGGTTATTATCAAGTTGACAATATCAACATGCGCGATCCTTTTGTTATTTGCGCGGCGACACACTCTAAGAAAGACAGCGACCCGAGCAGTTCCGTGTATACTTTCTTACGTATTATCTTTCGAGATACACTATCATTCTCTACGATTATACGCTTATTTATTTCGCGCAATTTATTCATTAAGATAATAATATCGAAACAATAGAAAATAACAATGATCGATTAATCCGATATTTAAGATCCTATAATTATTTTTTAATGCCTGAATCTGAATATACTTGGCGTCGCGTTCAAATTTTTCGCCAATTCAGATATAATTTGCCCATTATTTTCTCGAAACGGAATAATACACAAATCATGGAATCAATCGATCGGATCAGAAATGCTATTTGTTAAGAGATAGCATTGCTGCGAGTGACACATAAATTTAATCGTGGGATTTTTTAATATCAAAAACTAATTTAAACTTTATTTACGGGTAAATTATAGCTTAGCACGATCGTGGTTTTCGCGTTACTCTTCAATCACAACGTAATAAAGTACGCATCCTATACGATTGATCACACGCCGGGAATGTCGTGTATAAAGAGTACCGGGCGATCATCATATATTGCTGATTAATGCGGGCACGATCATAATAATTAGTCGTATTTTCGCGAGTGAGTACCATAAAGAAGCGGCAAAATGTGAACAAGAGAGAAGGAAGCCCAGGATGGCGACGGTGGAACAGCCATAAGGTCAGTACAATAACTTATTTAATTTAGTACTCATTAGTTATGAAATTAATTGTTTATTTATTTATGCGACAATAATTTATTTTACGTTGTTGTACAATGTAATATATAAAATAGATTTTTCCTAGATTTTTAATTTGAAATACTTTATAAAATATATTTAATATTATAAAATATTTATTATAAATATTTTAGATATGCATGTATGTATAGACATTTCGGCAGATCTGCTTGGTACAATATATTTGATTTGATTTCAACAACATTCCAAGCTTTGACAAGTTCTTTTAAAATAAAAATAGCCGCGAATTTCTTTGTCAAAGAATTTATGCAAACAACGACTTCTCCGAGTTTACAAAATTGCCACAAATTAAATGGAATTGTTACGTCTCTCACAGATTTACACAAGTTTTACGCCAAGCACTAAATTTCAATAGAAAACAAGATAAGATTTTCTTTATGAAAAGTATTTTCTGTCTCACGACTTCTTTAAGGGTCAACCAATGGTTAAATTATTTTTAAAAATTTAATAAAAATTAACAAACATCACCGATGGAGCATATCTGCGATTTGAGAATATTTGAATTAAAACGTTTATTAATTTTTGATTCTAATCGGTTCTCTCTCCGCAAAGTTATCATGATTCACGTACGATACGTTCTTTAATAAGATCCGCTAGTTCACTCGTTGTCTGACTTTTCCGCGTCCGATCTACGCGAAGCGAACCCGAGGGCTGTGATATCCGATCGCGAAAACCAAGAACGATGCATTCTTCTCGTGGCGAACCGTAGACGTTACCCAGCATGGCTATTGTTCCGTTGATGCCCGTATCCATCCATTTACCGTTCTTGTGGTCATTGGAGTACGTATGGCCGATATATATCCTAAGAACCCGGAGGCCCGGAGGCTACCGAATTACAATGGCGAAAGGACGGCCTTTCTCCGGACCGTCGTACACAGACATACGGAAGTCGGCGCAGGTCTGTACATTTCCATACGCATTGTGCTATGGTTGCGCCATACTTATAAGGAGCATACCCGTGATTTTATATGAGATCTCGGTTGGGATGTGAGCGAACTCCCAACTGTCATCTCTTGACCGGTGACATCTGGCCTCTCGTCGACGCAGAAGTGAATACTATAAATTAACTCTACTTCCAAAGAACTTATTATTTTCATTTCTGTGTGAATATTTTATGATTATTTCCTGTGACATCAAAAATTAGATTGACAAAGTAACTGAGATATATAGGAATTTTAATTTTTAAATTATTATTGTGTATGTTAATGAATTTTGAATGAATATTAGCGAGCGAAATATAACTAATATTTAATCAGATAATTTGAATATCATAAAGATCTAATTATGCTGGTATCGTAAAATCTACACAAATGAAAATAGTTTTTTAACTATAACCGTAATATTCATTTTTCTACTATAATTTTACGGAAGAATATTGTTATATATTATTAAATAATCGCGTGTGCATTCGCATCGTGGTATAATTGTATGAAAAACTACATTGCTCTTTTCTATCATATTTAAAAATAACGCATCGTAAAGTGCAAATGTATATTTGGCAAATTTTTATTCCGTGTTTTCGATAAAGTTGCTTCTCTCCTCCAAACAGATCAATTCTCCTTTACAGACCTACTTTGAATTATCTTTTTGCCGTAACTCTGAATTAAACTTTCTGGAATCATTTCTCTGTTATGTTAGTTTTTGCAACTCTTCGTTACAAGACTGTTCGTTGCGAAGTTAAAGATGAACGAAGTCAGTCGCGTTTTTCGCGAAAGTAGACAAACGCAAGTTACGATAACATAATTTCAACGTACGTACATACACAGAAGTATCGAAGACACAAATAAAGTACCGATGAGTGTCCGTTCGATCGAAAAGCGGAAATTCCGCTCATTTCGCCCGCGAGACGGACATTTATTTCGATTCGCCGCGGCTAGGTACGCAATGCGCGCGCATCCCGCATGAATATTTACATCCAGATGGTGTACATAAATAGCACTCAACGAAAAAAATGGGTTAGACCCGGGATACACCCACCCCCGTGCCGTAGATATCCGCCGGAAGCGGTCACAAATTCTCCGAGTCTCCGGCACAACCGCATTGCGCATTACTCTCTTGGACTCCTCTCTGCCTTTCTATGCGTTTCCTCTTTCTTCTTCGCTCTTTTGCAGCTTGTTTTTCGAATTGTATTTTTCACTATAAATTATTTTCATTATGGTGTCCCAAAATTAAAAGCTATAGCAATCGCTATACGCCATAATTATAATTATAACATATACAATAATAATTATGAAGTAACACTTATCAGCGCATAATATAATTGAGGAAAATAATATTGAGCTTTAAATATTTTTTTAAAAATAAATTTAATCCCGGTTAAACACGTTTTTACGGACTATATAAAATAATCGTTATATCTTTATTAAACTATAGTATTTCATACATATATTTTATAACGACATTATTAGCGATAATTATAGAGATATCTTGAATGTGGATCTTGCAAGACGCGATTCTTAAAATTCCTATGACAATTTACGTCAAACTTATTTCAGTCTCCCAAATAGTGTTAATGATACGGTCGGTATTCTTTTATACAGCAGTTTCTCTGGAAGAATAAAATCGCAACGATATCATTCCTGTCATCTGATTCTCTCTTTCTCTTTCTTTCTTTCTATTCATTTTGACAAATAACATTTAATGTCTACGGTAGATAATAAATATAAAAATATCTAACTGTAGTTGAATATAAAAAAAAAAGATGCTAAAAATAAATATAACGCGTTAGTTTTGCTTATCTGGATGTTTCGTTCTCTCAAAATTCTCGAAACGATAGTTTTCTCAAAACGACAAATAACATCTACTTTATGGTGCATTCATGAGGAATGGCGTATTACGCGTATGCGCGAATGAAATATCGCTTTTATCAGGCCAATCGTCGTCGTATCCCATTCACTATTTTGGGGTCACGTACTGCGCCATACGTGCGCGCTCGCTCGCTCGCGCGAACATTTTCGCGTTTACGTTCTTCCTATATTTTACACATGCCCGGAACTCTAATCTCCCTGCACTCTAATCTCTCTAATCTCTCTGCGTATACACATACGTTTGCTCTTGTTTTACTCTTTCATGATGATAAATTCGATTCCCAAATATACGATCCTCAGAGTGTTCTTAATCCCACGTAATCAAAACCAACACGCGCGAGTTTTGCACTCGGGTAATTAACGCACAGAAAAAGTTTCGATTTAAAAAAAAAAATGAAAAAAAATAATAATTTGCAGAATATTAAATATAAAAATATATCAGATAAAAAAATATTATCATTCTTACTCTTTTAATCTTTAATCGTTACACGAAATATTTATTATGCAATGTGTATTCCGAACGCTCAGATATTATATTTTGTAGAGATATTCGTAATTTCGGAGTAAATATTTTTAGTACAAAAATGCTCCATTAGATATTTCCAAAGAGAATACGCAAAGCATTGAAATGTCATTTCAAATATAATTTCTTATTTATATTCTTCATCTACTTGTCTTTATTACTGTCATTTATTTTGTTCGTTACTCTTCCTATGCTTACCTTACTTCTACTATGATTACGTAACGATTCCTCAGACTTCTTCAATTCGTCCATCATGTACTTGATGTCTTCGACTTCCATTTGTGAATCGCGACTATCGCCATAAGTGTTCACGCAAATCGTTCTCGTATGTTCGCTTTCGTTGGTTGTCAAACTAATCTAGACGAGAAGGCGCGGAACACGTGCCGCAATAAAGGAGATGAGGTTGCGTCGCGAAGTTCTATTCTAATCTTACTTGACATACATACATGTGAAAGGACAAAGGAAAAGGACTCTTACTTTAGATTCTTTCGAGTAACAACGTCTTCGGTCGGATCGAGAAAATCTCTTGAGACGATGGCAGCAAACCGCGAACGGGAAAATCAGGAAAAACATCGCGTTTAGGAAGAATTCCGCTTTCCTGAAGAATACACTCGTTGAATCGCGACTGTGCATATATTTACCTATTGTGTTCTCACCTGCTGCATATCCTGACGGTTCTCTTGCGCGTATCCGGATGCACCGGTGCACCGTGCTCATCCCTCACCACGCGCTTATATTTTAATTCTCGTTCGAAATACTCCGACATTATGCTGGTTTCCAGCAACGAGTCTAAACCCCAACGGCTCATCGCCGGTATGTACAGACCCATAAACCATTTCAGAAAACCTAGAGAAGAAACAAATGCTTCGGAATGTACATTGTTATAATAAAAATATAAAAACTGAATTACAAGAAATACAATGTGTGCTAGGATAAAATAATTAAACTATAAGAATGCATAAAAATCAGTTAAATATGAACTTTGCTAAATAGTTAGAAAATGTTAAAAATACAACACATTAAAACTGCTTTAAAAAAAGATTACAAATTATAAAAAGATATATTAGTAGGCGATTTTTTTTAGAAGCTATTGAATCGATTACACTAACCCATAAGAAGCAAGAGCAATATTAACGAAACGATGAAGAACATAACGTCCAAGAAAATGTCCGAGAAAATTTGACGATGATGCAACGGGACGGGACCGCGAAATCCAGCTGCGTGATAAAGTTCGAGCGGCATCGGTTGACAGCCGGTGCCACGTGCGTCGCCCACGCACACGCATAAACAGTGTAGCGTACAGAAGCAACGATCCATTTTTCGTATCTTTATCTTTCTGGTGGCCACCATTTCTCCGAGACGGTTTAGCAATTGCACTGGAATATATTTCGAACGCAGTGACAATGACATTCGTACAATACTCGATACTACAATAATTTACACGATACCAAATCGATTCTTTCTACTCTCCATTACATCCGTAGAGAAGATCGATTTGCGTTAAAAGAAAAAATATAGAAAATTGTAGAAAAAAAATACTAATTATATGTTATTTAAATATGGGTTTGATCATTTAGAAACGATCATACTTTATCTTCTTCTAGTTATCGTGAGTCATTAATTTTTTTTTTACCAGAGCAGTAAAACTCGTTTGTGGGCAGTTCGCCGTAAAGATTCAAGCTCACTGCTTGGTTCCGTCGAGGTTGAATTAGTCTTTTAGGAAATGTAGCGTTCACCCAAGACTCTGGAAGGCTATCGGGACAGTCCACGATCTTTGACTGATAAGACGTCGGAATCAAACCCGTATTGGTAATCACGATCGTTACCACGGTATGATCGAGTGCCGTGCTGTTCACGTTCACTTGACTGATGCGACCCATGGATCTAAGATTTACAGATTTTTAAGAAATATTCATACACGCATATAATTAAATTGAATGTTTGTTATATTAAAATATTCTGTTATTTATTTTCAAGTTTTATTATATATTAAATAATTTTGTTTAATTTATAAAATATCGCTTTATGATATCAAAAAATTTGATGTTTGGAACATCATATCGGTTTGATACATTAGTTAGAATGGATTGATATATTGATATATTAAAAATATTTATTTAATATTTATTTAATATTTATATAATCTTTTTAAAATTATGTTAAGTTAAATAATTATCTAATCTTTGTGTAAAATATATATCGTCAGTATCGCTATCTCAAAAATTATACGTTTTATTTAATATAAAACGTGAAATAAAATATTTTATAAAAAAGAGATATCTACTCACAAGTAACAAGTAACTTTAAGCTATTCGAAATGATCGGCAAATCGGATATTGAGAGAATTAGCGTGCAAAGTGTAAGCGAAACTAGAATTGACAATCTCACAATCAGTCCTTTAACTGAGGGTTGATATGTATCGCTCCTCTCGAGACTCACCCTCCTGCGAGCGCGGCATTATAATCCACCCCGACTTCGATGTCGATCGCAGACACGTGCGGCGAATGATACTCCAGAGCGAGAAACTCGCGGCTTCCGCTTCCGCTCGCGCTGTACTTGATGGGCTCGCTCGGCACGGATGCGAAATTGCTCAAGAAGTAGCAACCAGGTCGACCGGCGACGCGAGCTTCCTGTCGACACGTGACACTAGATCGAACAGCGGTCCGACCTTCGACAGCCGACGGGCGGAAATGTCCGCGGGAATGCGAGGTGGTTTCCGGGCGGGGAAGGAGAGACGTACGTTTGTAACACGCATCTGTAACCCGTCGTCTGCGTTCGCCGATAAACCTCGAAATGACGTATTATAGTTCGGCACCGGTGCAAATAGTTTGACAGGCGAGATTTAATCGATTGCTTTTGATGTTGCCTTACCCTGATTGCAAAGGATTTCCGATCTTTTTTATCTTTAATACTTGGACATGGAGTTTCGCGGGACTCTTGGTAAAATTATCGCATTCGTGAAAGGAGTAATAAATTTATAAAATTAGAATATATAAAATCGTACAAATCTTGAATAGATCCCTTTCCGTTGGAAATTTTATAACGTCGTTTCGCGATCACGCAATTTGACAGAATCCAAGTCCGCATCGCAATAATTCAAAACGACATAAAAACAACGGGTTCGCGTAGCGTGGAACCATCAGCGCGTACATTTGTGAACGCGAGACAAATTCGGTATTTCGTTCCAAAACGAGACGCGATTCGAATTCCTCGTCTCGCGTATCACATAGAGAACGAGCCGACGTACATAAAAATCCGCGCTGTTCCTCGCCGGACGACCGATTTGTATGCGACTGTCCGTTTCCTGTCGTTCCGGACAAATCTCCTCTCGTAACGTTTCACGTGAGGGGTAAGGGGGTTGGTATAAGTATTAAATTCGTGCGCGATAAATCATGTTACACAGAGCGAGAGCAGCGGGCGCACTTAAAGCGTCTCGCGCTTACGAAGGGGGCGAAGGGGGACGCGACGGGGTTCGCCCGGGGATAGCCCGAGGACAGGAAGGCTATTTCCAGTGTTGTTTCATTTATTGCACCTGTCATACGTACCACGTCGTGCCTACGGTAGGCTAGGGGCTGATTTTTCAAACAGGTTCCACTGACATGTCCGCACCGATCCGGTTGCTTCGCGAATGCCGTGAATCCCACGCCCGCTTTGTCGCACTCGTTTCCGTTCTCGTTGATACTGCTCGCTGGTACCACGAGATACTCGTTCGATTCGCCTACATCGACATATCGCCGTTTGACAAAATGTTCTCAATTAGTTTTATTAAAGCGAGTTGTCGACTCGACGTCACGTTTGCAAAGTCGTTTTATGTATTAGTGAAATTGTCGACAAAATATTATTTTTAGAATGTCAAACTTTCTAGATTTTTATGCCATGTTAAATTTTATTAAATGACACGATAGTTAAAGCATGAAACCTCATGTATTACGATACATACATTCCAATTTCGTATCTTTCAATAATCAACATTTCGTTGTTTAAGATCTTTCGATTAACACAATAAAATTTTGATAAAAAAAAATTTCTTTCTCAAACACTATTATAGCTATATCATTTTTTAATATATCTTGAATCTGGAATCAAAAGAAATCTTAAGACTCTTTCTTTAATTATGAATAAGAATTGAATTGCTTGCTTTATATCAGATGAATAATTATCTACTTTATTTCGTACAATTGTCGTTGTGTAAAATTATAAACTCACGTCTCGTTAATCATAATTTTGAGGGAAAGATATTGAAACGGAGTTCGATACCTTCGACGGGATATCCGGAACCTTTTGATGTCACCGACGACGGCACCAAAAGACGATCGCGAACGACATCCAAATTAGGAACCTCCTCCTTCTGTCCCGGTATTTTCACTTTCTTGTAGGCAAAAGCGATCGTATCTTGACTGCCTCTATGGTGCCTGTTGAACGTGCCCAATCTGATGGCATAAACGACCTGTCTAGCGTGAAGTTTATCGGGCCGCTTCGAATATACTTGAGCGTACATTCAATCGCGAGACACACACACACACACACACTGTCTCTCTCTCTCTCTCTCTTTTACCTGACTACGGAATCCTCGGTGAGATCCTCCCAGTAAATCGATCCATTCCCTAAAGTGCGTTTTTCGTAAACCTGTAGGTAGACCGTGTGCTCGACGATGGGATCTTCCAACTGATATACGGAATACCTAAAAAAATGTTTCCCCTGTGTGACGTGCATTTATTTTCTACAAATCTTTTTAAAATATCGATGATAATAATAATAATAATAATACATTTGTAATTACTAAATAGAAGTTGCAACAGAGAATTTTAGTTCGATATGCACGGACACTTTTGAAACATGTCGAACATTATGTATCTCATATGTATTGATTATCTGTTAATCAATTTGCGCGGCACGTCAACTGCAGACTATTGAAACCGCGAGACAAAGCACTCATCTTTGCTTTTGTTACGTCTAGAATCTATAATTGTTATAACGCACATAGCATTGCACTGTATCAAACAGAAAATAAATGATTGAGAGTCGTCATTTTAATACTGTTAAAAACCATCGGCCGATGCCACTATTGTGTGCATGATAGTCACACAATTCTTTTAATAAACTTTACACTGACAGATAAAACAACGCTCTCTTCATAACAAATGTGAGACAGAAGTTTCCAGATATTCACTAAACAACAACATTATTTTCAGGCAGAGTGGATTCACACAATAATATCATTATTCACATTTGTACCTTATATTCACAATTTATGCGTGGAAAAGCGCGTGTATTCTTTTCGATTTATTATCATTACAATTTCAACTTTCAAATCATTTCAAATCTTTATTAAAAAAAAAGTCTATCATATTTTCTCTTCATACTTTTCATCGTAACATATTAATTACAAATTCATTAAACTTTATCTTTTTACCAGATTTGGTATTAATAAGGGTTGAAAAACGATTCTTGTTTCCCGCTCTTTGTTTCTCGAGAAACGAGCGCATAAACGCGATATTCGACATGAATCACGATCAGCGATCCCCTTAAATCCCCATAGGCGACCTACCATAAATCACTGAAGCGCAAACAATGCGCGGACTCGAGATATTTGGCTGCATCGATATTCGGCGGGTGTCCGCGATCCGCGCAATCTTGACCGCCCCGGATTTGCGCTCGTCCGGGATCGACTTTCGATCCATCGAGCTCTCGTCGACCCTCGTCCTCGCACCGTTTCACGTTTCCTCTCGCAAACTTACGAAAATTCTCAGCGTTTCGTTTCTCGACGACATAGCGTCCCGATAGTCTCGCCGCGACATCATCGGCGTCATACTCGGGCTCGAGAGATGCCATTAATAAGTGTCTCCTGAAGCGTTGTTGGTTCCCGGTCCCCGAGATATCCTTGATCCGCTGACTGCCCTTCTTCCTCTTCTTCTTCTGCCACTTTGTCTTCTTCCTCGCCGCGTTCGGAATCTTCTGCTGTCGCTTTCTAAATACGCGATTACCTTTCCGGAAACTGGTATCTCGTTTCTTGTTCGGAGCGCTGTGACACAACGTGAGAGATTAAGAAATCTGTCATGTAGAAATAATAAGACCAATTACATGGAACATTTTCGGAAGACATAGGAATTTTCTGTTACGATTAAATATCTTTTTTAGAGAAAACAAGTTTCTTAAGAATATATTCTCGACAAAATTAATGAAATAATA